TCATTTTTAGTAACCCTTATACGTATCGTACTCCTATTGTAACTCTATTAGGCACTGGTTTTTGCTTCTGCTCCGTGAAAACACTTCTCTTTTGTTTATTTGTATATTTTGCCAGATATTTGATACTCTGTTGTTCTAAAACTGGGCCCAGTGAGTGACCCTGACCCAGCACACCCACTGGTTGTGAACGTTAAATTGTGGTTACTGTACCTAGTGTTAGTGTAATTTAAAGCATTCTCTGTCACAAGGATAAATAATGCTCTATTGAATTGAACTGAATCACACTCTCCAAAATCGAGGATGATATCTAGTCTCATATCACCATATTAATATAGAATTGATATATAGCCCAGTCCTACATTACTGCGTACTAAAACAAAGCTAACAGTCTGTATTGGCTGAGCAAACAGCTTCTGAAGGTGGACTGAGGCATCCAGGTTTTAAAGATTAAAACCCCTGCAGCTGCTGAGGAAAATCCTCCCACACTGCACTGAAAAGCTGTCACATTAGCTGTGGGAGATTGTGGCCAGTATCTGGTATTAAACAGAAGGTCAGTAAAGATGTGACATTACAGCGAGTCAATATTTCAGCCCAAGCCTTAATTATCCAGATTAACAGATAAATCCGAGCTTTTCAGTGACACTCAGTCATTCAGCTTGACGAGCCTGTCAGATAGACTGAAGCAGGATGGACAGACGAGATGTGTGAAGTGTCCTTCCTGCTTCTTGGCCCCGATTACACTCCTACTGTTGGACTTTGAGTTTAACTGTGGCCTCTGAACCCCTGGACAAAGATGAGCTTTGACACGTGAGGCCACAGAAGGAAAACTGGAACAATGTTCTGGCCTTCCAGGACGCCTACAGTAAGATCCAACTGAAAGGTCAAGTTTAGTGCTGCAGCCCCAGAACGGTTCACAAGACAGCACTTCAATTGAAAGACCTGAAATTAGAGTCCATTTACTCAGTGTTTTTATGTTCATGAGTGGACTTAAGTAACATGCTGGACTATGGCTGTCACTTTTATATTATATGAATACATATATATATATATATATATTATCTGTTATCATCTGTTGAATTCAAAGTACAGACTGTGCTTTGTACTCCTGAGTTGCTGGGCAAATGTTCTCTTTGCTAATGGTGTTTTCAGGATACTGTGATTTTGATACAATACCATCAAAAATATCAATATTAAATACTTTTTTCAATACAGGGAAGAACTGATATTGAGCGCATCGCCTACAAGTTAAGTTTTTAATGTAAAGATAAATATAACAGGGCTTTAATGTGACAACAACTTATTTTTTCTCCTCGTTGAAAAGTTAAAAAGTTGAGATTTTTCCATTGGATTTTGGATAGGTGTAGAAAATAAGCTCCTTGGCAAATAAAAGTTTATGATACTTAATTAAAGGACTATTTCACTGCTGGAAAGATAGCCTTTTATTAAAAGTAGGATGTCTATGCAGTAGAAAACGCAAATACTTCTGAAACTGGTGCTACAGAACCAGAGAGAACAGAGAAAAGGGACGCTTTTGCTCAAGAGGGAGAAAATCGACGACAACCAGATTGCACATCACCATAATGCAAACACGTTGGTTTGAGACAGTGGCGGCTGGCTGGCAGGAAACAGTCTGTTGTAACAGTTAAACAGTAAGCTAACACGTTTCTAAAAACATTTGAGACAAGACATAAGCAACGCAGTAACAGGATCGTAGTTTATATTTGAGCAGCGCTGTGTAGCTTAGCCTGCATTTTCACTATGCCCACTTCCTGTTCACAAACTCGATCCCCCACCTATAATGCTGTCCAGGAGATTTAACAGCTTAACCTCTAAAAACAATGGTCGTTCACAAATGGCCTCATGTGACTCTAACGACCAATGACATCATTGGCCTTGTGAAGACCTCCTCAGAGGTTAAAATACCTGGGTTATTTCCACACCAGTTTGTCAGACTAGTTCAAATCAGTTCAAATCAACTTTACTTATATGGCACTTTTCATACGACAGTAACACAAAGTGCCTCACAGAGGTTAAAAACAACAAAGATCCAAAACAGAAAAAAAAGCCTAGTTCCAGCCCAGTCAGAGACAAGCATGAACTGATGAAGCCTCTTGGATAAGAGATGAAACGTCTTCTAAGACAAAACTAAGTCCAGCTGTGTACGATTCAACTGCCTTGAAATAATATTGATTTATATTCAGTCAGTGCTGCCTAGTTTTACAGTTTGATGGGATTTTAGTTTGAGATTGAAGGAGGGAGAGCGAGGTGCAGGTCTGTCTCTTGATCTGCTTCTATGCTCTTTGTGTCCGTGGCGGTATGGGTGGCAGGCAACATGATAATGCAGAAGTACAGCCTGTAGTTCAAGCAACAGCCTGAGAGAAAGCGAAACCCCACCTGGTGGCATAAATTACGTCACCCGACAGAGTTTTTTTTTTGTTAGATGGAGAACAGTTCATTTTCACATACTACTCACATTGTTATGATACAAAGCTGGTTGAAAATTGTTGAAGTATCCTATTAGCTTTTTGACTCATTAGCCAAGGGGGGCTTGTAGATGAAAAAAAATCAAACAAAATAATAAATTAATAAAGGTTTCCATTCACTATAAGACCTTTATGTCAGGAAATATGTATATTGAATAAGGTATAATAACAGTTAATAAAGTACTTACATTATTACAATTATTACAAATGCATACATTGAATCTAAAGGTGGTGGGGGTGAGGGGATGCGCTGGACACCTGACCTTTAAATATTGGCTGCGGCCCTGATTTGACTACTATAAAGGTGTTTGACAGGGCACAATATTAAATGTGCAACAGCATTTAACATCTATGAATCATGAATGCATTAATTATAGTATCTTACTGTATGTTTATCCAGTACAGTAAAGCCAAGGGCGCCATGGTGAGAGGGCGGACATGAAATCATAGATTTCAAAACATTATTTTTCCTGTCAAATAAAGGCTATCGATCATTTATGCTAATTGTAGGTAGCACAGTTAATTTGATGATTATATATTGAAGTTCAAAAATGCTATGTGTCACCTGTAATCAAACAAAGCCAGACAAAGGTTATGATGTCATTGTGTTCACCCTGTACATTCCTCCCTGGACGTGTGGAGTCACAGGTGTGGTGGTCAACGTGTGATTATGTGATAGTGTTGGAGGAAAAATGTTTATGCTCATGGAATGATTTTAAAAATAGGCCACAATTTATTCCTGTGGCTCCAGTGAGCTCAATGGCGGAGCTACAATAGTGCTTAAGGCTAACAGATGGCCAACCTGTGGCCCTTTTCCTGGAGATCTAGATTGTGTGTGTGTGTGTGTGTGTGTGCGAGTCTGTATGTGTGTGAGTTTATAGCTGCAAGTGCGCATTAACTCACATGTCATTCCTTTAATGAGAGAGAGGAATGGGAAATGGGATTTTGCTCCACAGAATGGTATGGCTATTTAAAGCGAGGCAACACAACAAAAGAGGGAGACGGGGAAGAGAAAGTGAGATAGTGAGAGAATGGATTTGAGTCATATGTTTACCTGCCAGTGGTGCTTTTTCTATATAGTTGCCATGGCAACAGCGGCCCGCTGTATTTGTGTGTGTGTATGTGTGTGTGTGTGCTCACTGGGTGCTGTGCTTGTGTGTGTGTGTGTGTGTGACGAGGGATGTAATTCTGCCTGTCACCAGCGTAGCCTAGAGCTGACTCCCCAGCTGCTGGTTGCCATGAGACCAGACAGACACATCCTCCGCTTCAATAATAAATCTTTTCTCTTGATGCTCAAATCACTAAACAGAGGGGGTGCATTTTGTTTCCTGAGATATGTCAAGATAAGTGGTCACTGCTTTGCTCTGTATCATTCAAAATGTAACATATCAGTCAAAGGCAATGTCATTAAAACGACCAGTAAACGTCAGCTTTGGGGGAAATACCAGGCTAACTAGATCATTGGAAATGTACTTTGAGTCGGACTCAGTTACTGTACTGCACAGATGGTTTCCATATGCAGTACATGCTAACAAGGCAAAAGAACAGTGGCTTATTAGAAATGAGACCGTGTACCTTATGTCATGTATGTCAGTTTGATTTAAATCCAGCCCAAATGCACATCACAACACAACATTACAAATGCTTCTTTTGCTATTCGTTAGCTAGTTAGCTAGCTTTAGCAACCAAAGAAAATCTCGGCCAACTGAAATTTTACTCTGCAACACATTTATCGATGGGGGAAAATAATCTGCATGTATTGCTAGATTAATTAAATAGCATTGTGTGTCCACCAAGAGTTTTTATTCCTAAGGCCGGTGCATTCCTCAAATTCTTGGCCACATATTTACACTATACTACAAACGCCAGCAGCGTGACGAGGTGCTGGGCGCTGAACAACAACATTAACAATGGAGGAGAAATTAAAACTGCTGATCATGTAAAACCAACAGGTCCTTCCTCTCTCCCTATGTGCTTCAACCTCTTCTTCCTCCAGAGCAAGGACCACAGCCAGTACTCTACCTCATGCTGACATTTTTACTTATTTGTATATTACGTATCATAGCTACCAAAGCCTCTCGTCTGAAAAAAGGAAACCTCATCCTCCAAAGCGCTCTAGAACTCCCAGCTGTGTGTTTTCACGGTCTTAAGATGGCGTCCAAGATGGCCATCCCACATCGTATGACCTATATTCAAATTCTCTACACTGTAACTAAATAGATAATGTCAGTTTACAGAAGTTCCTCATGTATTTTCTATATAATTAATTGAATTGTCAATTGTCAGATGTTTTACCAACTTGAGTGGTTTAGATGTTTGCCGATGACACCACGCTGTGCATTATGTATAACTATAGGCGTGTATTCAACCTTCCAAACATTTTGACCCGAAGGAGATCCAAGAAGGATCGAAACATTGTCGAAAACTACTAAGATAACCACAGAGTACTCGTTCTTTCTTGTTGTGATCAAGGGAAGGCAACAGTTAAGCATCACACTGTCCCTGTTTTTATCATAGAGGGGTCCTGAGATGACGGAAGTAGAGCCAGTGTTGGACTTTGCCTCCTCAGGGCGCTCGGGGAGGAGAAATGCCCTGCCTGACATCCTGGGCTCACCAGCAGGTGTAAACCCCGGCGACCTGCCCCTAAAGCTGGCTGAGCTGTCCCTCAAAGGTAAAGTACACAATGTCTTCTTTATAATCATTATAATATTGAGCGCAAGGCTAAGTCAAACTGTAAGTTGACTTTGTAGTGACATCATGCACTGAGTAATTTAGTCTGAAAGGTTGCCTGGCATGAAATTATATCTAATTTTAATGGATCATATCTAACTGTTGGCATAGGTTATATTTAAAGTCTTTAAGATAAAGAAAAGATGATCCAAGCCTGACACTGCTAGCTTCCTGTGTAGCTGAGTGTGTTCTGCTGAGACACCCAGTCCTTCCGGCCTGGCCCTCGTCCATATACGACTGCCAGACATGCCAAAGATTTGTGGCTGAAGACTTTGGATTGATCAGCTCCAGTTAGAAGCATTCGGGCCATCTTTGGGTGCAGATTGCAACTTGGGAATTAGCGATAAGAGGCCAATTTCATGCCATAATCATCCTAAATCGTTCATCACGACTCTGGCATGAGTGTGACTACCAGGCGTGCCAAATTTAGATAACTGTTGTGCAGAGTATTTTTGACTGCATGGGGAGCAAGGACATGAGCATGCTGCTAAATCACATATAATGACTCAATTTGTCTTGCATTCTCCAAAAATTCACACTGTGAGGCCGTTAACTACATCCTGACATGTGGACGGAGAATTCTTTTCACTGTATTGTCGATTTATTCCAATCCGCCATCATTTAAATTTTATTTGTGGTCTCCTATTGTCGTTTCTCACTTGGACTAGGCTACACCGCCCCCCTGATCTGCTCCGTTTCATGAGCTTTCAGAAAACATGCACAAATACTAATGAAATGAACACAGAGCACAGACAGAAGGCTCCAACCATCTCTGTCTCAGTCTCTAAAGTTGAGCATAAACGAGCCCCATCAACGCCTTGAGGGAATTTCCTCAAATTTGGCAGAAACATCCACTTGGACTCAACGATGAACTAATTCAAAGGTCAAGGTCTCTGTGACCTCACAAGACACATTTTTGTCTGTAACTCAGAATTCGTCCTCGTACTCGTAGTCGTCGTCCTAATCTTATCCGGGTCCGTGTCGCGGGGACAGCAGCCTCAGCAAAGAAGCCCAGACTGTCCTCTCCCCAGCCACTAACGTCAGCTCTTCCGAGGGAACCCCTGAGGCGTTCCCAGGCCAGCCGGGCGATGTAATCCCTCCAGCGTGTCTCCTCCCGGTTGGACATGCCTGAAACACCTCCCAAGGGAGGCACCCGGAAGGCATCCTTACCAGATGCCCGAATGACCTCAACTGGCTCCTCTCGATGTGGAGGAGCAGCGGCTCTACTCCGAGTCCCTCCCGCATGTCTGAGCTCCTCCCCCTATCTCTAAGGCTGAGCCCAGCCACTCTGCGAAGGAAACTCATTTCGGCCGCTTGTACTCACGATCTCGAGAATTCAATGCGCTAATTACGATAAAATTTAACACAAATATCTAACAGGATAAATGGTGTTGAAGTGATTACATTTTAGATCCCAAAGGTGAGTTTCACATTGTAACATTATAATGTTCTGCAAAATCAGTTTTCTGGCTATTAGGTAATGTCATAACTCAGGAACAGAAGGAGAGAAATTTGGTCTGATTGGTGACTCTAATCTTGGGTGTACACCTTGAAACTGTGGGTATGTATTAGGGGTGTGCCATTTTATCTCCTTTACAATAACACCAGTATAATTTTTAATATATGAAAAATTCATATTGTGAAACTAGCAATATTTTGACTTGTTGACATGTGACGTCATACTGTTACCCACGGCATTGGGTCCGGCAACATATTTGTTATTGTGTCTTTTTGGGGTTTGTGTGCAGATGGTCCTGGAGGAGCCCAGTCCCCCACGGCGGAGGGGCCTCCAGCACCGCCGGAGAGCTCAGAGGGGAAAGAGGGATCATAGGGGCTCGTTTATTTACCTCCCTGGAGACCTGCAAAGATAACCTGAGAGACGGGATGAGGAGCGAGTTGGAGGGCGACCTGTGGGAGGAATGATTATCGGACTGGAGAGTCAGTCTGTTTGTGAAGCAGCTGAGCCACGGAGGACGAGTGACGGACCGACTCCCCAAAGACTGCAGCCAGGCACTGGCACTATCTGAGAAGCGTCAGACATCACTTAGTCATGAACTAGTGAGTGTGTGTGTGTGTAGGTGAGTTATACACTCACCGCGGACACTGAGAATCAAAAGGACCATGACAGATTGTATACTGTACACTACTATTTTTGTATGATTTATTTAAAGAAAAACAGGAACCCATAACTGTAAAATGAACCATTCCATTGCATTTCCTGCTGATTTTTGTTTTTTAGTGATGTGTGTTATTTTACATGAACAATAGTGGGAGGGACTCTGATAGCAGCCTGTAGTCGATCGAAGCTTTTTAATCCAGCTGGATGCAAAATGGTACGCGACATAAGAAAACAGTAGATTTAAGAGTACTGGGAGCTTTTTGTGTCGTCTTCTGCTTTTACACTAAATGTGTACTGTATGTTTCCAGATGTGAGGCTGTTGTACAGTATATCTACATTGTAAATGTACAGTTTTTACCCCTCATCGCAGACTGTTTTGATCCTAGCAACAACGACCAGGGATTTGATCCAATTTTTTTTTTTAAGGTGTCCATATGGTGCGAGATGATAACATAGAAGAACCTTCCGTATCTTGAGACATTCCTTTAGAGAATAGTGACCCACTGCCAGCAATGTATACACTGCTTCATTATAACACTGAGAAAAGTTGGAGATTTCTTTTTGGTTTTTGCTCAAGGCTGCTTTTAAAAGTCACTTTCCAAACCTCTTTAAAATGTGCCTAGTGGCAGTTCACAACCCAAATCGTGTGTTGTGTTCTTTCTCTGTGAAGTACTGTTATCCACTCTTTTGGGCTACTGATATTTCCTCAGTTTTAATAGGAGGTATCTTAACACATCTTTACTGCTTGAACTGTAAAATGAAAGACAAAACACTTTTGTAACATTCTGCAGGAACGCATCTGCAGATCCTACACTTTGTCAGGAAGAGCGTCGAGTTTTGCGTCAACTTCAGCAGGGCTTCTCGGGCTCCTCGCATGTGCTTCTTACAGCGACAGCAGCATATGCCCGCTGACTGGGCACGGGAGCAGGCATCAAGCAACACTACCGCCACAATGTGTTTCCAGTGCCGAAAACGGCTGCACACTCGCCTTCTGCCTCTCCGCACGGAGAAAAGTCTGTTCACACTCATCAACACATAAGCAGAGCTGTGAATAGGATGCAAGAGAGGGAGCGAGAAGGAGCGAGTCCACATTTGTCATCTCTCCACTCACTGCGACTGTATATATACTGTATTGTAGTATAACCCATGTGTCATACATGCTGCTTGTATGATTACCAGACTTTATTCACATACTGTACCCACAAAGAAATGGTGTTTTGTAATTGTCTCTATTTGAAGATGTTTTGCCGGTGGCTGTGTCTTTATGTGGATGTGTTTCACAAATGCAACAAGGAAAGCCTGGTGTGCCGCTGCCCAGCCTCTGTCTCTGATGCTGTACTTCTACTGATGCTGATGAGAAAGTGTTTGTGGTCCACACAAACTGTACGATCAGCACTTTTAATGGGGGTTGATGAATCAGAGGTGTATTTTGTAGTGTCCTGATCTCTAAGTGGTGCATATATTTTACTTAGCTGGATTGAATCCCATGTGTTGATTCTATCTAGTGGTGAAAATTGCCATATTAAACCCACAAGCTTTACATATACAACTGTGTGTTGGATAGTGTCATTTCTATGCAGTATGCAAAGCCCTCTATCCCAGTGCTTGACCTTTACATTTTGTCACGCATAAGTTATGCTATATGAAATAGGCTATGGGTAATATTTAAATGATTATGATATAATTTCAGTGTACAGCCACTCTAGCAGTGGAGCTCAGTGGAGGGCAAGGTCAGCTGGTCAGTGCACCACTTTGGTCCAGGCGGAACCTCAACAGCTATTGAATGGATTTCCATGAATATTTGTACAAATATTAGGGCTGTCCATTGATTAAAATATTCAATCGTGACTAATTGCATAACATTTAGAACATTATCTGCTCTAAATGTACCTGTAATGTACATGTAGGGATATTTTTCAAGTTTTTAATACTCTTATCAACATGGGAGTGGACAAATATTCTTGCTTTATGCAAATGTATGTTTATTATTATTGAAATAATCCAAAACAGTGACAAATACTGTCCAGGAGATTCTCGAGAATAACCTCAAAGGTATTGCATGCTCAAAAAAATTTTTTAAAAAAATGCTGGAAGCATCCCATGGCAAAATCAAGCCCAACAAGCAGCAACAGACGGACATATCCTCCATTTTTAATTTCTCCTAGCTATTTGGGATCAATAGGACCCAATATGTATGAAAAACTATATCGATTTTTTACAATATATTGATATATTTTCAAGCAAGATATAGATTTAAACAATACCGTTTATATCGAAACGCCAAGTTGCGCCACATGATGCATACCAGTGTTCATCTCTCCTCTCTCTCTCTCACTCACTCACTCACTCACAGTTTCTCCATCAACACTCAGAGAGACACAGAGCTGCTCCTGTTTAATGTGAAATAAATAATAAAAAAATGGACTGTGCCAGCATCTACAGGGTCAGATTTAACATGGCAGCACTTTGGAAGATGCCCGCCATTTTTGTCTGTGAGAACAGGTTTGCTACAGGTACACTAGTGGAGCAAGGTTCTGCAAGCACAGACTTATACAAGAGAGGAGACGTCATCTCTGGTCTCAGGGTTCCGTTCTGAATCCTTTCTTTTAACAGATTCTCTTTACTTGGTAGAAGGTCTGTTTGTCAAGAGGCAAACCTCGTCATCTCTGATGTTCTGGCCACTAGGGGGCAGATGAACTCCAAAATAAGGTGATAGACATGCTGCCCTTAAATATGATGCAGCCTTTACACTTTGTGAGGAGAGTCTTAATTCACATCTAAAATCTAAACCTGTTTATGTTGAGGTGGATGGGATGGACCAGCTGAGCAATGTTGATCTGGAAGGGTGAGTTAACAACTTTTCTTTTCAGATATTGATGATTTTCATTTTAAAAAGTACTTTCACATCTTCTTATACATGCTGTCATGCCTTTATTCTAATTCTCTTATTTGTAAGTCAGGGGCCGGAGCTTCAGACTTTCTGGGGGTGATACACACCAAAAAAATTTGGGGGCATTTCCTCTTTTTTATTGATAGTACAGGTAACACAGATTCTCAAACTGCCAAACTAAAAGGTTTAAATAGGCGAGTGGTAACTACAGAAAACAAAATAGCACCACAGTCTGAGGTAAAGACGAGTAGACTCAAGATCGGATTAAAGCCAGAGGGCAGAACAGTTGAAGCTGGAGGCAGATGTTTCCAATGAAGGCGTTAAAGATACAACAATATACAATATATTATTGTGCATTAACTCTGTAAACAACATCTTTAAAATCAGCGTCTTGACAGTGATGCTCATTAGACCACAAGGTGTTTTTTTTTTGTTTTGTATGCGGTTTTTTTTCTCTCCAAGACGACTTGTTGAATTTGATTTTCACATAAGATGCCTGTTTCACTCAGTTCAGAAATATTAGTACAAAAAGGATTTCTATAGTTAATATTAAATGAAACCACCAGCTTATTGAACTCAACATCAAACCTGAAGCTCACAGACTCTACAGTGTGTACTCGTGGTACAATTACTGACTTTGACCCCTCGTGTTCAGTGTACAGTTGCCACGGTGATGTCTCCCTCTTGAAAGAATAAAAAGTTAACATTGTGCTACTTCATTTATCTTTCTTTGTTACACAGGCCACAGTCTACACAATGGCCTCCTCACAACCAGAATCATATACAATGATGGTTTCCTCCTTTGTGACCAACATCACTCTGATCTGCTGCGAGTTAGCCTGACCTCCAGCCGGCGCTGGATCCATACAGTGCTGCTTTTGTTTCATCTTCAGGAGGTCGATTTGTGAATGATCAAAGACGTTAAGGAACATCGAAAACAAACAACAAAAAACAAGGTACAAAACAGAACATTCACAGTAAGGCATCATCTTAATAAGAAACTGCTACGACAGGGCAATACAGTGAGTACTTTTCCAAGGTTGAAAATAAATAAAGGTTGATCTAGAAATGCTAAGTATCGACAGTCTAAAGGAAAGAAAGTGCTAGCTACACAATGTGAAGAGCAAAAGGAACCAAAAAAAATCCATTCTCTCTGGCGGCTGCAGGCCTGCAAAGAAATTGACCAATCACAGCCATCCGGTCCGCATGGGAGTTACTGCTTGCTCAAATTTGCACTCTCTCTCTCTTACCCTCTGTCCAATCCCCTCGCTCCATTTTGACACTCCTCTGCTCCTCGTCCTGCCTCGTCCCAACCCCCCTCCGCATTTGAAAGTAAGAGCGGTTTGTAAGGCCCTGAGCGATTCAGCTACACGAGTTTCGATATGGAAAATAAAGAGAGCGACAGCAGCAAGCGGCCTCTGCTTGCCCCACCGGCAAAGGCCGAAAGGAAGCGTAAGTCTGCCTCTGAAAAGGCAGAAACGAAGAAGAAATGCGACAAATTGAGGGCTCAAAGCAGAGTAAACGTTGGGTCATCCTTTGACCGATGGAGAAAGCTCCGGCAAGATCTGGGCCTGAAAACTGATGCTGATACAGCGGAGTTTTTGTTGAACAGGTAATATTTCGTTTTTATTGTGGATGTTGTGACATAGATAACTGTATGCCAATGCTGGCTTATGACTGTGAAAGCTGCCGTCGAAACATTTTTTGTCTGCAATATGTTCAACGGAGACATTAGCCTAATTTTTAGCATTGTAAGCTAAAGTTGCTATCGTGTTTACACATTGTCACATCAGCGTGTTTCGTTCGGAGGCTCCCAGGGGAGGGGGACACGAGCTCGGATGGGAGGGATCATGGAGCACAGAGGGAGGGGTGTGTGTGTGGGGGGAACTGCCCATTGGTCCGACAGCCCATTATTCCGACATCCTATTGTTCCGACCATATTAAACCCATTGTTCCGAAGTCCGTTGTTCCGAAATCATCATGATGCCATGTGGTGAAGGTCTGGTTAGGTTTAGGCACAAAAACCACTTGGTTAGGGTCAGGAAAAGATCATGGTGTGGGTTAAAATGAAAAAGAAAGTGACAAACACATAAGCTGTGAGCCTGCTTCACCTCAACCCTTTCCCAGCTGACCCAGAGCCGGTCGCGGCGCACCATCAAGGTAGAAATACGCCCGCTGGGAGCCGTTCAGCACAGCGGACCGTCGGACTAATGGGATGTCGGACCAATGGGCTGTCGGACCAATGACATGGACCCTGTGTGTGGGGTGTGTGGGGGGCTATGGTCTAAACATAGACCATAGCTTTATGACAAGTAGACTTATGTAGTGCATAGTTTAAAGTTTACTGGAACAATTCCAAGGATGCATGACCTTGCTTTTCATAAGAGTCATTGAAACTTTACAACATAGGTGTCCTGAACAGTGTGAAAGGATGCTATGGTTGATGATGGCAACAGTTTTCTTAATTCAAAGCTGCTTCTGAACAAAACAATAAAACCAGTACGGAAGTAAAATCCTTCTGAACGTTTCAATGTAAGGTCAATAGGCGGCTGTGCACATCAATTCTGGGTCTCATTGAGGAGGGATTGTACACACTTTCCTCTTTGTATCTCCCTCTTTTTCACGCTGTGTCTCTGAGCGTGCACACTACAGTTTCCACTGGCAATGTTTATTCTCACGATACAGGTGAACAACTTACACTCAGCAGTTGCCTGTGAAGCAATGAACACCTTAGAGGAGCTTTATCTCCACCTCGAGAAGGCTGTGGACGCAGAGGCAGAAGGAACGGGCTGAGCCTTGTTGCTGAAACTGGCTCAGACAACAAGTGCCTTAATTCACCAGCAGGCTAATCTCACTCTGGACGCCCTGGTAGAAAACTGTAGCCATGGACACACTGCGACTGAAGAGTTGATAATGAAACATAGTGTCTCATACTCCCCTGTCTTTGTCCCTCCAGTCAGAGACAGCAACATCTGCACCAGCTGGCTGACAGCCTGGAAGCGGCTCGTATTTTGACAGCAGGAAGGACTGTCTCAAAGATGTGTGTGGGCGGTGCACCACAAGTGAGGTGGGTAATCAGATGCTGTAGATTTAGAGTAACATTTTGCACGGTCTTGTGATCTTGCAAGTCTTGTTTCTTCGTTGAGTGTTTGCACTGTTGTAATTCAATTTTTCTGAACATTGAGCTAAATGAGAAACGTATTCCTCCACAGGCACCACGGACAAATAGTCCTCTTGGAACTGGTCCGCCACAAAGACTGCGTAAAACTGTGGATGAAGATCATTCCAGAAAACGAAAGAAGATGGCTGGAAAATATCTTAAAGAAGGCCAAGAACTAGAAATCAATTATCACTTTTATATTGTTATATTGTTGTTGTAACTTGTTGGGAATAGAATGATGTTATGTGTTTTACTATAAGTTGTGTTTCACTATATAAGTTTTAGATGTGTGAACAATGAGAATACTGAGATGATTTCAGCTGATCTGAATGTGTTTGCTTTGCAGAAGTGGAGAAGTACAGGAGAGGAAGAGACATGAAGTCTGAGGAGCACATACCGCAATGCTTAGATAATTAGTTTCATATATGGTAAAAAGAATAGAAAGTGATATACAGATAGTAAGGTACAGCACGTGTAGGGAGTTGTGTTGTTCTCTTGT